GTAAAAGGGTCCAAGCAGTATTGGATTAAAACTGGGCTAGCAGGAGCCCAAGCACCACAAGCTCTGGAGGCCCTATATGATATTAAAAAAGTTTTTAAAAATACACATCAATAAATATATGAAATTAAGAATTCACTGAAGTTAAAGTCCAGAAATAAATACATGTACCACTTTTCACAATAAAAAATATATCGAATATGTTTTGTTCTTGTTGTCAAAATAAATATTTTAGATTATTTAATGCAAAACATATTTTTTGCTATTTTTCTACAGAGAGGGTTTCTTATCATCATGCCCCAGGCCCCATTAAAGCCTAATCTGGCACTGGGCTCAAGAGAAAAGAAATATAAGTAACTATTAACAATGTTGAATGATATATCGACAGTCCCATTCTAATACCCCGTATCTACAAAAAAATCAAATTTTAGGTTTTCACGCCATAATGATAAAGAAGGAATGTTCTATATGTTTACAAAATCCCGAATCTGAAATAAAATTGCAAGGTCTTCGAATATCATGTTTCTAATATGCCGTATCTACTGCAGTCATTTGGCGCCGTGAAATAACCAGTATCCTATTAGTTTCTTATGCATGTTGTTAGGTTATAGTAAAATTGGTGTAAAAACGTGATTTTTTCTTGACGATGGCATCATTTTTGGTAAGTAACTGCTTTTTGTTTGTTTTTAAAGGTGATGTAATGCAACAGCACCAAGAAATTATTTAATACTAATAAGAAAATATAACATTTCTTTAATTAAAGACGATACAGGTTATTACTTAAACCCCTTTATAAATAATTGTTTGTTACGGGTTATTAACATGCTGTTTTTTATTTTCAGAATCAAAGCGCATCACGTGGAAAAAAATTGGTTATGATGACTATGAACACTGAAACTTTAGAAAGTAATGAACAAGATGTTTTATCTACAATTTACAATATTACCTGCAAACTACAAGATGATAGTGAACTAGACAGAAATAAATCTTTTCATACATACCTTAATAAATCTAATTATGTTAGATAATCTGACAAACAGTAATAATAATAGTCATATGGAGTACTCTGTTCTACATGTTCAAGATGATTTTTGTCAGGAGCTTACGACAGATAATATGGATGAAAAAACTTATAGTGTGGTAGATCCTGTATTTTACAATAACCAAAATATCTTACATGACCAAGCACACGAAAATATAAAAATTGATCGATCAACGTTATGATTTTAGTCCAGATAAAATCAATGAAATCACTAATAAGCATAATACGAATATACTGGAAAGAGCCAACAACAACAGTGATGGATATTTAGTTATAGAAGACCAAAATCTAGAAGGAAACTATTCACTGAAAATTAATGGATCTGTAGACCATACACGACCAGAGGAATGCCAAGGTGAATTAAACTGTAAAGGTAGGCATACTATTTTCTTCTTCTTCTTTCTACTTTATAAATAGGCCCAATGCCTGTTTTACTTTGGTTTTAGCCTCAATTGACGTTGTCTAACCATCTTTTCCGCGGTCGTCCCAATGAACTTCTTTCATTTGGCGATTTGTGTCTTGCTATTCGTACTATTCTATTTTCTGTCATTCTTCATCATCATAATACAATTTCATTATCTAAAGATGTAAGCTTATTTTGTCTTTTGTTGTTGCAGGTGACCTAAATGAAATAGAAGATATTGAAGGACATCGTGACTTGGAAGAAAATGAAAATGAAAGTGAAAATTCAGTGACCAATTCTCCCATTAATAAAAAAAGAAGAAAAGGGTTCAACCCAGGAAGTTGGAAAAGAAATGTGACAAAAAATAAAAGAATGTGCGACGAACAATACGTCGGCTATCAAAGATCTACTACCGGTGAAGTAAAATCAGGAATTTTAAGACCGCAAAAAGAATTATCACAAGCATGCGAATCAGAGGCCTGCGAGAAAGCAAAAAATAGACATTGTTCGGAATTTTCAGAAAACGAACGTCAATTAATTATTAATAATTTTTGGAAAAATATGAATTGGAGTGAAAAGAAAATATACGCTACTTTGAATATTGCATATTTACCGAAGAAAAGAAGTTTAGTTGGCGAAGTATCTAGAAGACAAGGCACATATTACTACTATTTAAGGAATAAAGACAATGTCAAATTGAGAGTATGCAAAAAGATGTATTTGAGTACACTTGATCTTAAAGAAGATATGGTACACGATTGGTTAAGAGGAATGGAACACGGGCTAATTCATTCTCGTCTGCCGTTAACCAAAGATGCATTTCAAATAGTAACAAATTAAAACGAGAAAATTTAATTGAATTTTTTAACAACTTAGCAAAGGTACCTTCGCACTATTGTAGAAGAGAAACCTCAAAGTTGTATTTGGAGCAGTTCTTCCAGACCAAACAGGATATATATCGAGAGTATAGAAAATATTGCGAAGATGACATGAAAGTTAATTTTATAGTCAGCAATACATTATTTGATAACATTTTTTCTGATATGAATATCTCACTATACAAACCACATAAAGATCGATGCGATATATGTTGTGGTTATGAAACGAAAAACATTGAAGAAAATTTGTACCATATACATCTTGAGAAAAAAAATGCAGCAAGAAAAGAAAAATTTATTTTAAAGGCTATTTAAAGGCTTTATTTCAAAACAAAACTCGCTATCCATAATTTTACAATTTATAATTTGGCATCGCACGAATGTACAAATTACTGATGGGATGAGTCAGAAGGTGATTTATCTGCTTCCAGCTTTACAACTATTATATTAATCTTTATTCAAGAGAAGTGCATCAAAGACATTCCGATAGTTTTATATTCTGACTGATGTTGTTACCAAAATAGGAATTATGTGCTTTCAAACGCTTTGATAAATTATTCAATTCAGAAAGGTGTCACGATAGAACAAAAATATTTTGAAAAAGAGCACACCCAAATGGAGTGTGACTCTGTCAACTCCATGATAGAACAAAGATTGAAAAACAGTTTCATTGTACTACCAAGTGATTACGTATGACTCACAAAAAAAGCAAGAAAAAAACCAATGCCATTGGTAGCTCTCTTTGTAACCCATGAGTTTTTCAAGGATTTCTTAAATTAAAAATCATGGATTTACAAGAGCATTCGTCCAGGCAAGAAATCAAATGATCCCACTGTCACAGATTTGACAAACTTGAAATATGACCACCCCAAAAAAATATTCAATATAAGATTGATTTTAGTCATGAACTACAACCACTACCAGCCAGATATCTAAAGTATCCCAAAAGCGTTATCTACAATTCACTACATAAAGATCGACTTCGCATCAAACAAAAAAGTGGCAACATTTGCAAGAAATAACTGTTTCACCTTATGATTGTCATGCATTTTATGACAATTTACCCTACTCCCCATAAATTTGGGAAACAGTTCAGCTTATAAGTATCATTAAACATTCACATATCATTTTTTATTTAACTGGTTGCAATTTTTTCTTTTACTCATCATACTTTCACCGTGGCATTTTTATATTATTATTATTATTATTATTTATTAAGAAATAAAAACATTGTTTATTTATTTGTTAGTTTATTTATCAGATCTCCATTATCAAACATCTATCACTTAAGTAAGTTCATATTACTATCCATTTAACCAATCTCGATTGATCACTGCAATAGCCCGTATATCATTTTTTTTTGTACCTAATCACTTTCAATGGCCTGTATCTGCTGTATAATAATAAACATATAAAAAAAATTAAAAACAAAGGATGGTTGACCATCAGTATACCCCAAATAAGTAAAATTAAAAATCATTTTAAATTTGGACCTGTATTAACTTGTAGAAACAGAAAAAAGTCTCTCCTGTAAACTTACGCTTAACTCACTTACGGGGTATTAGAATGAGACCGTCGATATTCAATACAAATTAATGAATGCTACTATAAAATTGAAACTATTGAACTTGTGTAAATAATATAAAATTGGTAAAAAATTAAAGAATGATTATTAATAATTTGGTGCAACCCTAAACCATTATTTGCCTTTAAATACTGCTCAGAGACTAAAAGATATTACATTTGAACATATAGGTAAGTATAGTGTTGCAAAAATAATATTTTTCCGATATGCATCCAAAAAAGATGATAATCAACAAAATATTCCACATTATTTAGGAATTGTACCATTCTTTCTAAAATTGATCAACCTGCATTCAGAATTTAAGTGGGGTTATGGAATTCAATATACCTGTATTAGTTTTTTTTAATATTGTTTGTTAGGTTAAAATTTATACCTATCTAAAATATGTTTTTTTTCTTCAAATTTATCTTCTAAATTGATTGTGACAACACATACTTGAACTTGATCCATGTCTATACCAAAGAATATAACCTAATACACTTTATGTAAAAACATATTTTATCTAAATTTGAAAATTAAAATAAATTCTTGTGGCATTACACTACCTTACCCATATTACTTTCACATGCAAATTTTCTTTTTAATTTAATTAAAACATAAAATATTTGGATGCAATCATTCATTTACAGTTAGGTATTCACCAAATTTTACATATTATTTATAATCAACTCCATGACCACAGTGCACAAAATGGTAATGAGTAATGAGACCTTTTAATGATAATGTTTACATCATTAAATTCTCAGATTATCACCTTAATGAATAATGTGATTCTTTAAATCAATAAATAGGTTACAAGGTAAGTAAAATGATTTCAAAACATTGTATCTTAAAGAAGGCCAGAATCTAACTTAGCCAATACTGCAAACTGTATGCTTTTAATGTATTGCAATATATTTATAATACTTATACTCACTTAGAAATAGATAACCTATTTTGAAATCTACTTCTTGTGCTCGTCTCATATGAACATCAGAAAAGTTAATATTTGGACACTTTCCAAAAGATAAATTTAGTAACAAACGTAGTAGACACACCGAATACAATTCGATTAAAAATAACTACAAGATTTAAGGGCAGTTCAATTCTACTCACCAAAAGTACTATAGAAATTTATCGTGAATCCTTTTTGACAAAAAGTATTAGTCCTGTAAATTTTCAAAACGTTATTTATATATTGAAAATGGCTCCTAAGAATTAGTTAAACACCTTTATCGTATGAAAATTACTCATTACTAGACGTATTTAACGATAAACAGAAATATAAATATTTCATTAAATTAAAAGTCTGGGCACTTTTATCGCGTAATGACAGCACTAAATATTTGAAAGAGTTGTTTACATATGTTCTTAAAACAAGTTGATCATAGGATACGTGGTTAAAACTACACTATAAACGTACATATACACTTACTATCTTACTAAACTATCTTTTTAAAATAATTTTACAAGAAAAATACTTTTCTTACCGGAGAAAATTGACATGTGCTAAAAGTCACAAAACGCCATTTTCTACTAATTACGCATTTTATTATTTCTGTCACCTTCTGTCACAGAACACAGAATAATAAATAATCAGAATGCCCACTCTCCATGGAAAATTAAACTCCATTCGCTTAGCTCGGGCACAGAATATCGGGCATATTTTGACAGATTCATTGTCGGAAACCTACAACACAACAATTCCTACTTCTCAGTACTAATAACTCATTATATACTAACTACTATTGCAGACTTCTTCCTTTAAAAAAAGAAGAATTATTCCAAATAGTGGAAGTGTATACTAAACCCATAACATTTTCCCTGTATATTTAAAATATAATATTTGAGTTGTTACAATTGAACATATTGTAGTAAATATTTATATTATTCGGTTTGTTTATTTTAGCTAATATAGTTTTATTGTTCCATTATTTTTGTTTAATTCTTTGTTAGTTCTATTTAGTTAATTAGTTAGTTATATTTTGAATTTTATTATTAGAGATAGTCAAAGTTTTCCATTTGATCTATCAGATAATGCGTTGGTAAGTTTTTCTTGAATAAATATAAATATGATAAATTTTCTTTAAAAGTTAATATTTTTAGATGAGTAAGGATGCTGTTAAATTACGAGGTAATCAAACTGCACAAAGATTTATTCAAAACACCAACTATTTTTGTTTAATTATTTGCCCATTCGGCGTAGGTGGATCATTAAAATATATTTATAAAATTATGTAAATATGTTCTTAATAACAAAAACATTTCAGTTAACATCCAGCTCAGTTTGACATGGCGTCAAAAATTAAATAAAAAGCTGTGATAAAAGTTACAGTAATTTAGTTTATATCGTTAAGTTGCTCCAAATGTAGGCAACCAACTTAAACTTTTTGTTAGGATTTAGCTGGAGTTTCTTAAAAATATTTTTAATAAACGTTTATTATTTTTCAGTTAATTTATTATTTTTTAAAAGTGATGATAATAATGCTGAATAAGCAATATTTCAAATGATATTTAATCACAAAACGTACATAATATTGTGTTATTGTAAAATCCTCATAATAAAGTACGTTAGATAAAAAAGGTAAAATCCCGGGCCGTCCAAAACTAGTTTCTAATAGGAATAATAGAAGATTATGATTTGTTTTAATTATATTTTTGATGATATTGGATATTTCTGATGAATGATATTTTTGAATTATAATATGAATATTATGATATTTTTTATCTAACCTACTTTATAACACAATATTAAGTACGTCCTGTGATTAGATATCATTTGAAATATTGCTTATTCAGCATTATTATCATCACTTTAAAAAATAATAATAAATTAACTGGAAAATATTACATATAAATATATTCTCAAGAAACTCCAGCTAAATGCTAACAAAAACTTTAAGTTGGTTGCCTACATTTGGCGCAACCTAACGATATAAACTACTAAATTACTTGTAAATTACCGTAACTTTTTTTATAAAACATATTTTTTATATATAATAGAAACTTACATTCTATATACATGCTATAAATGTCTAATTCATAGTATAAGTTTGTAAAAGAGGTCGACGAAATACTCTAAATGAAATGCGCTATGAGCACGTGTACTTGGTTGTATAATAATTTCCAGCCACTTCTAGTCTGTCAAAAAGTAACTAACTTCGTAAAAACATAATTACTAAAATCACTAGACAGTTCGGACTGGCATTAGCGAACCGAGTATATGACTTGGTCATAGTATCATGGGTGGTAGCATGATACTATGATTAACAAGATAGGATCTTCCCGTAGCACAAAACAGGTTGGGTTCGCGCATGCCCTCATTGGAAGTAGAATTTGAAATCTTGTTAAAGTTAAATGGGATTTGTATGCATTCTGTGATGAAATTACTAGACGAAAATAAGTTAAGAGGTTTAATAATTACAATAATCGTACACATAAGGATATATTCAAACTATTTATTAAAGATTATTTATTGATACATACAAAAAACTGACATTTTGAACGTCAAACTCTCCAATGACGTCACGACTTATGCGCAATATTTTATCTTCTTGTCTTAGAATCATGGGTGGTAGTGTACTATGCATGTATGTGGTCAGCCTGATGATAGTGTCAACTAAAAAAACGGTTGTATTTTAAATTTTGATTATAATTGTTTATTAAAACTTTTTAGTATTAGTGTGAGTAGTTAAGACACGAAAGATGGAAAGTCAAAAAAGTAACAATAATACCGTCGTTGTAAATTCTAAAAAATACAAATTTTACAAAAAACCTCCTGTAAAAAAAACAGTGCCTGAAGTGAAACAGACTAAAACAAGTATTGCAAGGATGTTAAAAGCAAATCCTTTATTAAAATATGAAAATAATCAAGGAAAAGATATACCAACTGACGCTAGTACAAATTCTAAAATTTGTTTGTCGCCTATTAAAACAAAAGAACTAAAGATGTCATTACCTCATTTTTCAGGCAATGGACAAAAAATTAGATTTTTGTGTAATTCTAAAATATCTTGCTCTACTCCAGATAGCCCATTACTATCATCCACATTGATTACGGATGAGGAAGTATTTGCAAAACCAACTTCAAAGCCACAATTAAATCTGCCAAATACGAAAAAAGAACCATTGAAAACCAATGTGAGACCAGTAACTGCTAAACCAAATATTATTAGAAAAACTTTGTCTAGCCTACATATTGAAAAAAGAAAAAAGGAATTATTTGAAATATCTAACAGAGGAAAAATTAGTAGTGGAATAAACAAACCAGTTAGAACTATACTTAAAAGGAGGTCTAGGTCCTTAGAAAATTTTGATACAAAAGGTATGTAAGTATTGATTTCGCTTTTGACATTCTTAGTGATATTTTAGTCGAGAGTTTTGGCCAAAACCAGAGAAAATTTCTATATCCATGCTGAGCCTTCCTAGATTTGTCACAAGATCTTTTTTGTACTACTCTGTTCTATCAAAAGCCTGAGATGTCATACTGTTCTATGAACTTAAAAACTATTTATATAATGTAGTTATACTGTCACATATTGAAGAACTATCTGAAGGTTTTGGCTGTGCTTATTATTATCCTGAAATAAAGTCACTATAATTTCAATGTACTGTTTGTACAGATATACTTGGTTCGCTAATCCCAGTCCGAACTGTCTAGTGAATTTAGTAATTATTTTTTTGCGAAGTTAGTTACTTTTTGACAGACTAAAAGTGGCTGGAAATTACTATACAACCAAGCACACATACTCATAGCCAATATTAATAGTAAACAGACTAAATAGTACATAAAATAGAACTTTGCAAATTACTGACAATCAATATTTATTTATCTGCACCATATAAAAAATAGTAATATTAAATTATAACAACTAAAATATATTTTTTATATAGATAAAATGAATGGTGTTCAAATAAACTAACATTTAACAATTTTTTAAATAGATGGCAGCACATGCACCATATTTTAATACTTTGAATTTCTCGAAATTTAATTATCTGAACAGTGACAGTGTTGCCAATGAGGCCAAGTACTGGAACTTAAAATTTAATATACGATCGGGAGAATCAGTATAGTTCGCTTTCGGTCAGCAGTCTTCTGCATTGTAAGTTAAAATTAGCTATTATTTGAAGTTTCACAAATTCTAATTTTTGGATTGGATCATTCCATATAATTTTTTAATTTTTGTATCACGTTGTGTTGTTCATTTACCTTTGAAGTTAAATTGCTGTTTTGATTTTTTTTGTGTTGTTTTTTTAGTTTTGTAAACCTTTTAAATGGTGCATATCAGTTTTGTTTCTTAATTAAATTACTTATAATAAAAATATACACCTGTAAATCTCATAATTTATTAACCCAGTAGCTGACGCTAAGGACTGATCAGTTCTTTGTAATTTTACATTTTTCTTGGCAATAAGACTATTGAACTTATATTCATTTGCAGCCAGTAAACGATAGCCTTCCATTGCTAAATCAATTTTTTTTCATTTTAAACTTCACTCTGTAAAAATGTCATTAATCCACTCTAAAGTGTGTTTCTAAATCTTGTTTCTAAAGTTGTAACTTCTGCAGTTTTTCTAATACTTTCCATGGACATGAAAACATAAGATGCCATAGTCAAACCATCACAATATCGCTGTGCTAACTTGTCAGCAGTTTTGTCTAAGGTCTCAAGTGAACGAAGTTGACTATCAATCATATCATAAAAACTAAACTAGGCCAGATATAACTAAAAGTCAGGCCAGACGCTGTGAAAATAATGTGTATTACGTGTTGCGTTTTGTCATATTGACATTTCTAATATTTGACAATATATAAATCAACTACATATATTATATTTATCTATGATTTAAATGGCCAAAATTTTGTGATTTATTATTTAATAGAAAAATTAAGTTGATAAAAAAATGTACTCAGTTAAGGAGAAAACAGCAATAATAAAAATGTTTTATTCATGTTTTATTATAACATTTGTTATAGTTTTATGTTTAGAAATCATCATATATTATTATTAGGAATAAAGATCATAGTAACAGTATATTGAAATTCATTGAATTGTTGTATAACTTAACTTAACATGGAATTAAATTTTAGTGTATTAGAATATCTTACTTTAAATAAAGATCCGGTAGTGACAGGAAAAGGTTCGTGCTATTGCCTGAATACAACATTATGCGATTTTTCGTCAACTGAGTACATTTCATTATATTGATCGATTTGTAAACAATATAATTTATTGTTCACGAAGTAATATTGTTCAGTAGTAGTAGTATTTATTAAAATATAATTTAATCATAAAATAAAAAAATTGAAAGTACAAATTGTAAAACATATAACATCAATATGATAAAACACACACGTTATAATATATTCTTGTATTACGTGTGGCCTAACTTTTAGGGGTGGTCTGAAAAATCTATTATATTTTTGCAAAATTTTGAAGTACATTTGATTTGTGGAAAGGTTTTAGCATTTGTTTTTAATTTAGAATTTAGTCCTCTACAAATAGTTTTTTATGACTTTTGATCTAAAATAATT